TGAACAGAGTACTTGGACAATTGAGGTGACTCAGTGTTTTGTTCTCCGTGTGAGAGTGGAAGAGGTGATCAGGGACTTCATGAAATACACGTCCTTGGACTCATCTTCAGGAGTCGGGTATCATCTAGCTGTGTATCTTTCAGATGGAGGTTGTGGCCATTTCTGACATTCAGTCAGTAAAGTAGTTAACACATGGAAGATAAATTCCTCTTTCAGAAGAAGACCCTGATCCGTCATGTCTCCTGAAGCACTGACTCGTGTTAGGGCTCATGCACGTTGGGGTCTTTGGCCATCTAACTTCTGAGTAGCTAACTATAGTTGATAGGGTACGAATAATGGACAGAAGGCGCCTTGTCCCATAAATCTTCCAACGAGAGGTATGAGGAAAGAACTATAGCTATATAGGGTTATTGTGGTCATATGCGATTTATACTGCTTTATTTCACGTGTGTGTTAAACTTCCCATGTCTGGACTACCTACTAAATTAAGGACCAGCTCCTCATTTCAAGATCTGGCCCAGCATAGGTCCACCTTATCTTTACAGTCCTGTTTCCATGTGTGTATCTTCTTTAGTCTTACCAAACTGCCTTTCTGAACTTAGTTGACGTCCGAAGCTTTTGAGGGTTTGACCCTTGTTAACATCCGATTGAACTTCTCTATATGAAATGCTGGTCTAGAGAAATAGCTATTTTTAAATAAGTCATTGGAAACAGGCGACATTTTCTAACAATCTCTGAAGTCCTCACTACTATTAAACGCAAGCAGTCTTGCCCCCAAATTTTGGGATTGTGGTGGTACTCTGAAGAAAATCTTCACATCTGGATTATGTTTAACTCAATAATGTAAAAAATTAGTTCTGAGTTGTTGTAATGCCTTCAGTTCTGTATGAGTATGTGGGATTGGGAGTGGAGGTCATGGAAGTAGCATGTGGCGTGACCTCTGCTTTCAGGGAGTTAAAATTTTAAGGATACATGAGATTAAAAGATAGACGGAATTCCTGAAGGCTACAGTACTTGATGTGTGCCAGGAAGTGCTAAGCTGTTTTGTTGACCATAGAGATCCTGGGGTATCCTGTCAGCGGTGGTGAAGGCCAAGGTGGTCTCAAACAATGCTTGAGGAATTGAAATAGTTGAATTGAGCTTTGAGCCGTGTCTTGGAGAGCGGGGAAATTTGTTCAGGCAAACCGGGGAGACAGAAATGGCGTGAAGGCATGGAAATGACAGGGACTGCGTGGTGAATGTACCTGGTGTGAGCGACCTTGAAGGGATCCATTGACTTGCTTATCCTGAGAAAGGCAGCTTTGGTGTTTTGCAGAATAGAGCTACTATCACGGCACCTCCTTTTTTTCTTTCTTTCTTCTTCTTCTTTTTTTTTTTGGAAGTGGAGAGAAATCAAAATTTATTTTCACATATAACAAACGTTAGGGAAATTTGTGAAATGATATACTTATTGAAAATAGTACATTTGACTTAAAAATCACTTCCTTTTTCATGGACCATACAAAATTATGAAATGGCTCAAATAATTCCCACCAGGGTTTCTAACATTATATATTACTGTGAAACATTTCCTGAGCAGGACGAGATTGGGGACATTCTAGTCCAACCCCCTCATTCTGTTTTATTTCATTCTGTAAGTTTTGCATATGATCCTCAGGTGACCTGGCACACAGAGACCATATACAGAATGGCGAACATTTATTGAGGGTGAATTGAGTGCCAGTCCAGCATGCACCTCCTTCTTTTCTCTCCAAATCCTGGGATCTAGAAACACAACCTTGTTGGCTTCTGAAATGTCAAATTGTGTTCAGTTTATTTCTTTGGAATACACACTCAAAAAAATCTCACGATAACTTACAGAGGATCACATGACTAGAAACAAGGACTTCTTTTGAAGATGAATGAGAAGGTGGACAGTGGAGAGTTGTGGTTGGTACACAGACCTGTCCCTGAGTGTCCATGGAATGCTCCACTTTCTGATGAGTCAGCAGCCAAGCCTATGCCTGTGGGTCAGTGAGGTCTGTTTGAAGGGATGTTCTTTGTGGTTGATTGAATGTTTGCTTGGCCAAGGATGTTGCCTCTCTCTGAGCCATGCCGGTATCTGTAATAGGCTGGACCTTACTGAGGGTTAGAGGAAACTCTTTGTTGATACGACTTCATTGATACAATCAACAGAGGCCTTAGTTTTTAAAAATATTAATATTGATTATGTTTGATAGATGGTTTATATTATTCATCCTTTTTCGTATATATGTATGAAAAGTTTTATCTTTACATTGTAGTATCGTATTAGTTTTTTCAAAGGATAGCAAACTGTATTTAGTTATAGTATAAGTATTACTTATATTGGAAAATTTTTTCTTCACAACTACCAGAGAATGTCATGTAGCCTCTGGGGATTGGGGTAGTAAATCATGGTTCTGAATTAGGATGACCTTAGTTCCTGGACTCTTAATTCACATCTCAGGAAAGGTTTACCAATTAACAAAGTATAGTTGTAGTACACTAAGTGACTTGCTTTTCCTTCTTTAGTAAGGGTCTTTGTTCTAAACTAAATGATGAGTAAATTTGGATAGCATCAGGTCCATTTAGTGACTTCCCTTTTCCCCATTCTCCCTAGTCTCCATTCTTTTTTCCTTTTTTTTTTTTTTTTAAGAGAGGGAGAAGAGGGGAGGAGGGAGCAGAGGGAGAGGGAGAGAGATCATCTTAAGTAGGTTCCACACCCAGCGCAGAGCCCGACACAGGGCTCCATCTCACGACCCTGAGATCAAGACCTGAGCTGAAAACAAGAGTCGGATGCTTAACTGACTGAGCCATCCAGGCGCCTCTCTGTTTATTCTTAAACAATCCTGAGAAACACAGAAAAAGGTAGCAGAACCATATTGCCATTCCCATATGTGCTGTCTTTCTAAGTGAAAGGGATATATTTTTAAAAATATTTATAATGCTGAAATAAGATTGGTTCCTAAGAAGAATAGGGAAAACCACATTGGAATGTCAGTGAAGATAGGATAGCTTTATTGTTAGCTCAGGAGGTAAATATACTACTGGTTACAGACCAGCACCTGTTCTTTGCTGCTGCAGCTGCTAATGACACAGTTGTGCATAAAGGAGGCACAGGAAAACTCCGGAGAGATCCCTGGGATTCCTCTTAGCACATTCTACCCCATTAGGTTGCATGACTCATCGTAGCCTTAATGTGGAAGGTTTATTTTATTAACTGGGTCTATGCTGTTTCGTATGATTGCCTTATTATAACCCCAGTGACTTGTCTGTCCTTTGTTAAATAAAGCAGTGATTTAAATAGCTTTTAAAAAGCAAAGCAAATAAAATAAGAGAAGGTTTAGCCAAAAGTACCGTGCATGATGTTTTCATTATGGTTCTACCTGCTCAGAACAGATGCCTTCCAGAGCAGTGTTCCATTTAAGGAAGATTTCTTGGCAGAAACCTCAAAAGTTTAAGCACTGAGCAAAGATCCCATTGCTTTCTTAGATTAAAAGCACTCGTGCATTTTTCTTATAACATTCATAAATGTTTATCCTGTTTGAAAGGGTAGACAGAATGTTGAGACTTACTTGATGGCAGAGATACCAGTTTTTCTAGATAGGGTTCCCCTCTAAAACCTGAAGATTAAAAACCACATTCCCATTGTGCCTAACTGTCTGAGGTAATGACCTAAGGGATCCTTTCAGCTCAGTCATAGAATTCCAAGATGATTTTCCAGCTTCATCATTATAGGAATGTCATGATTTTCTTTCCCTAGATTTAGACCTTTAGAGTTGTCTACCTGATTTGGGAATCCATGGACATTCTTCCCGTGTTGCTGAGCTCCGGGTTTTATCTAGGGCCCTCAGAGCTCTGTGCAGAGTTGTGGGCCCAGTGCTGGAGAAAGGTCACCATGCTATTTTTGCCTGTACCTTTTGATTTCCATGCCCTCTGTGCTTGAAAATCCATTTTGTTATCCTCCAGATTTTATTCCTTGTGAAGACGGAATAAAGCCACGGGAAAAATTCCCTTCTTTCTTTCTTTTTTTTTTTTTTTTGAAGATTTTATTTATTTAACAGAGAGAGACATAGCGAGAGCAGAAACACAAGCAGGGGGAGTGGGAGAGGGAGAAGCAGGCTTCCCGCGGAGCAGGGAGCACGATGTGGGACTCGATCCCAGGACCCTGGGATCATGACCTGAGCTGAAGGCAGACGCTTAACGACTGAGCCACCCAGGCGCCCCAAAATTCCCTTATTTCTACTTCACAATAATTTCACAGTTTATGAATGGATGATATTGGAGGTTGATTAAAAACAACCACATCAGGAAAGCTACGAACTGTCAAAGGATCGCATTGCATAATCATAGTTCAGCTTTTTAATTTGGTATACATGGAAAACATTTGCAGAGCAACTCAGCCTACTGGTTTGTTACTTTGAAAACTGTTTGCTTTTCAGAGTTTTCTCCAGGTGGTAATTTCAGTCATTTTTGAGAAATGGAAAAATTAAAGTTTAAAAAAGTGCATGTGTGGCTGGTAGTGGGAGAAGGATATAACTTGCTCTGAAATTTCTCTTCGGTGTTGAAATATGTGAAACTTTTTGAGAACCATGGCTTTTATTTATTTATTTTAAAGATTTATTTATTCATTTGGGCGTGGGGAGCAGGGGTAGAGGGACAGAGAGAATCTCAAGCAGACTCCCCTCCAAGCCTGGAGCGCATCGCGGGGCTTGATCCCATGACCCTGACATCATGATCTGAGCCGAAACCAAGAGTCGGATGCCTACCCGACTGAGCCACCCAGGTACCCCATTAAACAAATATAATAGTTTATCACTGCAGGCAGTAAAGTGAATTTTTCTTTTCATCTTTGTAAAATAGAGTACCTTTCAGATCATGTTATCAAAATGCTGAGTTTCCCTTATGTTTTTTTCTCTTTCATTGCTTCCCTCTGATGTGGCTGCTGTGTTGACAACCCTTTCTACTTCTGCTGCTGAATTTTTGTTTCCATCATTAAGGAAACCTCCCAAGGTAAGCAGTGATGCGGAATTTGGCATGCATACTAAGTATGCAAATATCCAGGACTTCATCCATCACAGTAACCCATGTGGAACACCTCTCCCATTGAGAAGAAAAATCGGCATTCTAATTAAAACTTAAACCATGAAAAAACAATTTATGTCAGTAATGACACAAAATTAGAATGCTCCTCTACATTTGCAAAGCACTTTCATACATTATTTCATTCTTAGAATTAATGCTCTGGTCCTCAGAGCGAAGCTGTCAGCTTCCTGTTTCTGTTTTATTGATGATGAAATGAGGCTCAGAGAGTGAATGGTGTGTCTTATTTTACACATTGGGTAAGTGGAGAAGCTGGGACTGTAGAGTATCACCACCTAGAAAATGGAAAGACAAAACTGGTAACATCATGGAATGATTGTTGACTGGACAGATGAACTACCAAGAATAGTTGGTGGTATCAGGGAAATTCTCCAGACGTTCAGATAGTGTTTTAGCTGCCCACCAACTCTGTGTGCTCTGTTAGAGTTTCTAGCCCCTCACAAAGTCCACTGACTGGAGTTGTTCTCCTTGCTCTGGGCAGCCTTCAATGGCATGTTTACCAGGGGAGTAACCCATAAGTTAGAGAGTAGGTGGGGAAAAAGAATATGAGAAGGAGGGGATCTGAATGATCAACTCATGAATAACTGAAGGCTGATTTTGTTACTGGTGAGTATTTTATTGGGTATAAAAGGGACACTTAGTGCCAAAAGGAAGGATAAATTCAACCAGTCCCTGACCAATAATGCTGGTTATAACTTTGGTCTCTGAGATGGAATCAAGACAGGCTAAGCACCCCCACCCCCCATTACATGGTCAGAATCTAAGACATGCTGGGGAGGGTAAGGCTTCTAGAGTAGATTTGGCTTACTTGCCTCTCAGGCGATAAAGGAAAATCTAGCTTAGCTCTTAGAAGTGGAAACCCACCAAAATGTTAAATGTTATCCTTTATGTTTACTGAAGGCAATAGAGGAATTGTCCTTGGCACTAAAAGTTTCAACTCCAGCAAGGAAGGTACATATTGAATAAATAGTATGAGATCTTTTAAGAAAGAGGAAATATATGATGTTATAGAAATGTAAGCACTGGCCTCTGGCCAACCCTGAGGAATTAGAAGGTTCTCCCTGAGCACTTACTGATTTGGACATAGTCCCAAAAAGCTGCAACCAAAAAAGTGTCTGTGCTACTCAGAAAGATGTGAGTTCCCCTAAGTAGCTTTTCCTTTCCTTGCTTTTGGTCCTAGAAGTTTCAGAACAGACTGTCGACCTTGTGATGCATTTAATTCTTTCCCCACACAAAAAGGCAATGAAATCCTAGGCAATTTGATATATGGCTCCTTAGTGAAGGAAAAGCACTGATATAAGGGCACAAAAATACATTAAAAAAAAATCACTAATTTCTTTATACATAAAGATTTTCTGGGTTATTTTCTATTCAGTATATAGAGTTTAGTGGTTTCCTTAAGTGTTCTGTTGATAGTTCCTAAGAAGTATCATGAAATTTTCAAAATAAAATCAATGTGAAGTCACCACATTTAAATATATGTATTTATGCATGTCATAAGGCACATCTGAGAAGTATAAAGCTGGTCTTGAAATAAGTGACACAATAGAGTGTTATTTTGAAAAAAAGACATTAAAATAAATAAGGTCTTTTCTTGCAGAAACTGTAAACATTGACAGCAGACAGGAGGGAAAAGTGTTAATGATGATTACATAAACGAAATTTCATTGATTTTAAACAATGAGATTTTTTTTGCAAATGACATATCTGATATAGGGTTAATATCCAAAATCTATAAAAAAACTTATCAAACTCAACACCCAAAAAACGAATAATCCAGTTAAAAAAAGGGCAGAAGACATGAATAGACATTTTTCCAAAGAAGACATCCAAATGGCTAACAGACACATGAAAAGATGCTCAACATCACTCACCGTCAGGGAAATACAAATCAAAACCATGATGAGATACCACCTCACACCTGTCAGAATGGCTAAATTAACAACACAGGAAACAACAGATGTTGATGAGGATTCGGAGAAAGGGGAACCCTCGTGCACTGTTGGTGGGAATGCAAACTGGTGCAGCTACTCTGGAGAACAGTATGGAGGTTCCTCAGAAAGTTAGAAATAGAACTACCCTGCAACCCAGCAATTGCACTACTAGGTATTTACACAGAGGATACAAAAATACAGATTTGAAGGGGTATATGCACCCTGATGTTTATAACAGCATTAGCAACAATAGCCAAACTATGGAAAGACTCCAAGTGTCCATTGACTGATGAATGGATAAAGAAGATGTGGATATATACAATAGAATATTACTCAGCCATCAAAAAGAATGAAATCTGACCATTTGCAATGACTTGGATGGAGCTAGAGAGTATTATGCTAAGCGAAATAAGTCCGAGAAAGACAAGTACTATGGGATGTCACTCATATGTGGAGTTTAGGAAACAAAACAGATGAACATATGGGAAGGGAAAAAAAAAGAGAGAGGGAAGCAAACCATAAGAGACTCAATAATAGAGAATAAGCCTGAGGGTTGATGGAGGGAGGTGAGTGGGGGATGGGATAATTGGGTGATGGACATTAAGGAAGGCACTTTTTATGATGAGCACTGGGTGTTATATGTAAGTGATGAATCACTAAATTCTCCTGAAAACAGGAGAATTCTCCTTGGGTAGAGAACATAGGCACAATTTAGTATAAAATCAATTGTGTTAAAGGCCACAAGAGGCAAAATATTTGTGGAAATCATAGGATGAAGGGTCTCATTCTGACTTCTGCAGATCTGAGGACAGCTAGGACTGAAACTAATACTAAAAACCTATGCTTGAAAGCACTGGAGAAATTCCAAGTTAGTGAAGAATTACCAAATCAGGATCCAAGAAATGGTGGAAATTTAGAGAGGTGAGCCTGGTTTTTGAGTGTATGCCATTCAGGTAGGGCAGCTTAAAGGCAGAGCAGTGTTTCTGACAGCCTCATGGGATCTGGGGAGCCTAGGAGGACAAAAGTGTTGGAGTTCGGAGTTTACCAGAGGTGGAATCCTTGGTAAACTCTTTATACTTTGGGTTGGCAGAGTAGATTGAGATGCAGCCTTGGCTGAGGTATAAAGATGAAACAGAAGTAAACCTACCTTCACATGGATTACCATGTGGTTATAAGTTCTTTGTGTGATCCAGGAAGTCTCAAGCACTAAAATTGGATCAGAGTGATCCTAGAATGGAGGTTCCCATAGGCACCTGGCAGAAGCAAATGTAATCCCAAGTCTCTAAAGATTCCACAGACCATTTTAAAAATACAATGTCTGGCACACAATCAAAGATAAAGAGGTGTATTACAAGATAAGGCAACATGGACAGGAAATAGCAAAAATAATAAAAAGTAGAAATAGACCCACAGATGCTTCAGATGTTCAAATTGTTAAGCATGAACTTTAAAGTAACTATGCTTATTATATTTAAAGTGATAAAAGATAAAACTTTAAAGTGTTGAGGAGGACAGAAATTATAAAAAATGACAAAACAGATTTGGAAAATAACCCAGTAGAAATTCTTACCCTGACAATCTCAAAACCAAAATTAAGTTCAGTGTTAGGGTTTAGCAGAAGACTAGATCCAGCCAAAGAGAGAATTAAATGACTAGAAGATAGGTTAGCAGAGATAACAAAATGAAATACAGGAGAGACAAATTGTGTGGAGACAACTGGACATTAGCATGCACAGAAATGAATTTAGATATAGACTTTATATCCTTCATAAAAATTAACTCAATGTGGATTATAGACCTAAATATGAGATGCAAAACTGTAAAATTTCTAGAAGATAGTGTGGGAGAAATCTAAGAGATCTTGTTGCTGATGACCTTTTAGATGCAACATCAAAAGTGTGACCTGTAAAAATAAAATTGATTAGTAGAATTCATTAAAAGTACAAACTTCTGCAAAGGCACTGTGAAGAGAATGAAAAGAAAGCCACAAACTGGGAGAAAATATTTGCAAAATACATCTGATGAAGGACTCTTATCCAACATATTAAAAAAAAAACTTAAAATTCAACAGTATGAAAATGAACTACCCAGTTAAAAGATGGGCAGAAGACCTGAACAGACACCTCACCAAAGAAAGTATACACATGGCAAACACACACACATGAAAAATGGTTAATTTCACATTAAAACAACAATGAGATGCCACTGCATCCCTGTTAGAACAACTAAAATCCGGACACATCTGACAGTACCATAGCTGGTGAGGATGTGGAGCACCAGGAACTGTCATTCATTGCTGGTGAGAATGAAAAGTGGCCACTTTGGAAGGCAGCTTGGAAGTTTCTTACAATGCTAGACATATTCTTATCATATAGCTATGTAATAATGCTTCTAGGTTTTTACCCAAATGAGTTGAAAATTTTTGTCCGTACAAAATCTATATGTGAATGTTTTCAGCAGCTTCATTTATAGTTGCCAAAAACTGGAAGCAACCAAGATGTTCTTCAGTAAGTAAATGGATAAACAAACTGTGGTATATCCATACAATGGAACACTGTATGAATTATCAAACCATGGAAAAAACATGAAGGAACTTTAAACACATATTGCTTAGTGACAGAAGCCAATCTGAAAAGGCTACATACTGTATGATTCCAACTATATGACATTCTGGAAAAGGCAAAACTACAGACATCACAAAAATTATCATGTACCTGGGACAGTACCCATAGCACATGGAAGCTACAGAATGACTGTTGGAAGTGTGAGGAAAGGAAAGAAAGAAAAAGAGATCTGCTGGAGCAGGAGGACACTCACCAGTGTAGCACAAAAAAAGGTTGGAGTCCAGCTAAATTTTTACTTCCCTTCACTGATGGACAGAGCCACTTTGCTAGAGATTAAGCCAGAGAACACTGTCTGCCCTGATTCCATTCTCAAGAAAGATCCAAATATCTGGCTAGTCCATTATCCAGATGC